GTCCTCTCTTGCTGCCCAATTCTACCCAAACTCTCTTCTCTTTACCTGTGATGATGTGCCTCACCCTTTCTTCCTTTGTTCCTCATCCCTGTGATCCAGGCTTGGCTAGAGTGAATTGCATCCAAATGCTAAGTTCTTTGTAAAGTCAGTACCTGGTGAGTTGAAATTCAAAGTATCCTTCAAAGATCAATTCAAATTCCAGTTCTTTGAAAATCACTGTATCTGTTGTTTTAAATAGGCTCATTATAGTTACTGTAAAGCCTATTTAATGACTACAATGTCTGGATCATCTGTAGGTCTGTTTTTATTATCTCTTTCTTGGTTCCACCTCTTGGTATGCTTATTAATTTTTTATTAAATAGTAGACAATGTGTAATGAAGATCACGAAGGTTTTTACATGAGTCTTTAGCTTCTAGCAAGTGATTAGAATGGGAGAAATCTCCTGAATCCAATTAGGATTCAGCTATTTAGAGGTTGAGTTTCTTCAAATGTCTTTAAAGCCCCAATCATTTTCTGATTCCCTTTACTCCTTGGGTATAGTCCTTAAAGGACCCTAACTGAAAACCTAGTGTTCATGAGAGGTGTTTTTCCTTGACAAGTGTTCAATACCATTTTTTATTTGTGAGACTCTCAAACGCTCTGTTTATCTATTTCTCAGCTCTAGGTTTTTGTTCAGTTTCTCTCTGTGCTGCTTTTGCTAATTAGTGAAGCCACTCAGACTGTTGGACTACTTCTCTTCTCTGCCACATCTATGAGTCTTTATCCCCTGCTCTCTCAATAGCCCCGAACTTCAGTTTTTCTTCCCAGTCTCATGAGACCACCAAAAGCTTGGCTCAGTTTCTGCTTCTTAGTAGCTTTTTTTCTCTAGGCTTCCCAGCCTTTCTATCCACACTATTTTACGAATCAGCCTTGAGGAATTCCCTTGAGTGGAAAATCTGCACAGAATGTCTTAATCACCTCCATGGGTTTCTCTTCTGCCCAGTTTCTTGACCCATCAAATTTTCAATGCCTCAGGACTCTCAAATACGTGTCTCTGGTATCTCTTCTAGTGTTTTGTTTGTTTTTAGTGAGAGACTGATGTAAAATAAATAAGGGACTCATTGTTGGAAATGGAACCTATGTCTATCCCTTTTAAAAACTTGATTTTTACCCCAGTAGATTATAAATTCTCAAAGAGGAAGAACTCTATTTTCCTTTATATTTTTACTATTTCCTCTATGTTTTCCATAGTGTCTAGATTTTAGTAGTACACAATGTTTATTGAATGAATGAATAAATATATGAATAAGTGAATGAATACCTGGTATAGAATAGGAGGTTATCTGAGCAATAACCTTTTTCATCACATTTTTACTGCGTATTTCACCAGGTGATTTTTTTTTTCCAGAAATCTAGACTTTAGCAGAATTAAGCCCATGTTTGCCTTAAAAGTCATTTTTTATTCCAAATTCAGCAAGCCAGAGTCAAACTCATTACTTTCCTTTGGTCTCTACTTCTAAATTTTTCTTTACTGTCGATGTCTTTACCAGCCATCCCAGTCTTCAGCTCAACAAAATATTTGTAGGGCATATACTGATCATAGAGCTTTTGTGCTTGATGTTAAGATGTAAGAACAGATAGAACCTGATCTCAGTCTTTCAAAGTACCATCTAGATTGCTGGTAAGAAAAGTATACAAATAAATATGATACAGGTCTAGATATAAATTAGTGAATGAATGAATGAATAAATGAATGAAGGTACAAGAAGTGTTGAGGGAAGAGAGGGGAGTTGATGAATTTTGAACAGACATAGAGGGGGATACTCCAAGTAATTTAATTAGACTGTAGCTTGAGGAAGCATAGGGGAGGAGTTGGCAACAATGCTGGCAAAGTTGGCTCCATGATGTGAAGGGCCTTCAATGCTCATTTGAAGTCTTTGCACTGGCCTGGAGAGGCAGGGGGAAGCACTGAAGGATTTTGAGCAGAAAAGTAAAATATAGTTGGCTCTGTAGTGAAGAATGTCAGTCTAGAATCTTTGTAGGATGAAAGAGGAGATGAGAGGTGGGAATAACTATCTTACCCTTTGCTCTCCTTCCCACCCAACCAGGAACCAAACACCATACTCTGCAACACTCAGAGTCTGGACCATCCCCTACTATTCTATTTCTGAAGGTTATCAGATTATCACAGCCTTCATCTTATCAAGAATCCAAAATGGTGGCTTTCATCATCATCTTGCCCTTCAAACATTGTCTATCCCCCAAAATGGCCCATTTCTCTCTCATTCCCACCTTTATGCATTTACTCAAGACATTTGCCTCTTAGGCCTGCTTCTGTTTCTATAGGCATCTTAAAAATCAAAACCTCTCTCTTCTCTGNCCCTTTCCACAAGCAGAGGAGCTTCTCCCTTGGCTGCCACCACCCTAGGACCACAGAAAGTACTGCCTGCCTACCACCAATGTTCACTCAAGGCCCAAATATTCTTTAGTCAGCTTGTGGTAAATGCTGCCAGGTCTAGGACCCTCTCTTCATGGAAATGGACTCCCCTCTCACCCAAAGCACGCCTGGAAGTCCTATCCAAGAGCCAAAGCCTGTAGTCAGGGATCCCAAGAGCCCAATTGCTGCTTTACCTCACTGTGACTGAGCTGGTACCTAAGTTGCAAAACAAAGCCCCCTTTACTCCTCCATGTCCTTTGCTCAAGCAGAAAGAATCTCTCCCAGTAACCACCATAGCTGGGAATGGACTACATCACATCTAAGGCCACCATGTCTCTGTGTCTCACCCAAGGCCCATGGCGAGTACTGCCTGGCAACAATTGCTGATTATTTGGGGCCCAGGAGATTTTTAGTCAGCAGGTAATGGATCCTGCTTCCTTTCAAGGCCGTAGGCTTCCTTCTGGCCCAGGGTTTGTTTAGAAATGTCATCTGGGACCTAGGGCCTGGAATGGACCTAAGGACTGTCTGGTGCCCTATTCCATTATAGCTAAGATGATATCCAAGTTGCAAGGCAAAGTTCTCTTTACACTTTCCTCTCCTCTCCTCAAGTGAGAGGAACGAGTGCCTCCTGGACCTGTATGCTGCACTGCCTAGGGTGTGGGATATGCATTCCCTGGTGGTGGTGCAGGCATTCCCTTGGTGACTTTGGCTGGTGTCTCACTAGGTTGCATGCCCGCAAGCCCACTGGCTATGAGCCCAGCAAAGCACCAGTGCTTGCCCAGAAATTGCAGTATTTGGGGCTTAGACTGCCTTTCAGCTTTATTTAGGACCCCGAAGTCCTTCAGCCTGCAGTGGCAAGGCTTGCCAGAATTCAGGTTTATGCTACTGAGATGGGTGATTCCCTCTGGCTAGGACTGGTTTAAATTCTTCCTCTACGGGCACAGGATGAGTTATGCCCAGTATTGCTTTCTGCTGTGAAGGGGCAGCACTGAGTTCCAGTGCAAGGTCTCATAATCACTGCACTGTCTCTTCTCCAAGCACACTCTCTATCTGCACCATGCAGCCACTGCCAAGGGGATGAGGGCGAAGTGGTTAAGCAATTCAAGACTGTCTTTCCTATGCCCTTCAGTGCCTCTTTCAGTGATATGATATTAAAACCAAGTACTGGATTGTTTACCTGATGGTTCCTATGAAGGTGCTTTTTGTGTGTGTGGAGAGTTGTTTAATTTGGTGTTCCTATGGGGAGGATGATTAGAGGATGATTAGTGGAGGCTTCTATTTGGCCATCTTGCTCCACTTCCCTTAAAATATGTTTGTTTCACCTAAGGAAACTTAATGGGTGAAAAACTCCTTTTGGTGGTGGTGATGAGATGACACTCAGGGCAACTGTGCTAGCTGCACCTCAATTTATTCTTCAGGGATTAAGTTCCAAAGAATTACATTGTTCTATAGCATGCAATAGACATACTATTTATGTTTAACACCATTTATTAATTCTTTTATTAAACACATTTTATTAGATATCAACTTTGTATCAGATGATATTCACAACTAGCCCATCCAAGACTATTTAATTTTTGTCTACCATAACAAGGATGCGAAACATTCCCCTAACAACACCTGTAACTCTGTCACTTCAGGAAACTGGATTTCCAATGTGATGTTGTGGGAACATGGCAACTACTCCATCACCTTATGAAAGTCCTGAGGGTTTCTTCTTTTTTTACCCTGCAACTGGTATGCAAGCATAACTGGATCTTCTCTCAGCTCCAAGTCATTCAGCACAAATATATCACTTCCTCCCTATCAATGTGCTTTACTACTACAGAATCCCTTTACAAGTAAAATAGAATGAAAAATGGAGATTGTGGTTAGTTGTTGAATGTGTGTGTGGTAGTGGGTAACAGGGTAATAAGAGATAAAGTTGGGGCTACTTGGAGAAAGAAGAGGAACAGTGTGAAGGAGATACAGATAGACCAAGTGGCTGCTAAGAAAGGTCAGGTATTCATATCATAGGACTGACATCAGGCCAATGTATGTACTTTCCCTAGGGAGCCAGATTGACTTCCCAAATTACCCTGAAGTTGAGTCAAACAACCTCAATTGAAACCTCAGCTCAACCCTTTGCTAGTTGTGAGACCTGGGAAAGTGACTTAACCCCCTTAAAGTTCAGTTTCTTTAATGGTAAAATGAGGGTCATTATGATCATCATCATCATGATGTATAAGGAATTTTTGTGAGAAATAAAATGATGTATGTAAATAACAGTCTAATGCTTGGCACCTAGACATCCTAATTAAATGTTAGCTATTTATACTTTTACTATGAATAAGTTGCTAATTATCTGTTTTTAAAGTCAACAATAGAAATTGGGGTTAGCGAGGCTCTTCTGACAACTAAATTGAGGATTAAAGTGAAAAAAAAACCACCAAGCTAAAAATAGCAGAACCTTCCTGAGGACACTGAAGACTTCAGGTCTAAGTGTATATCTATAGCCATTAAGAAATAAAAGGAGTTTCTCAAAACAGGTCAATGTATCATCTTAGGAGATAAGATGGCATAGCTGAAGATGACTCTTCTTACCTCAGTTCGGTGCACCAGCTGCTGAGTTGCATCATCATTCATACGAAAAATTTCCAGAAATGGGTCAGATTTGCTGAAGAAATCCTAAAATACATAAACATCAATGAATTGTTTTTCCTCCTGCATTTGATCTAGTCCTGATCAATGAGGAATATTAATCAACAGGAAAACCCTCTTGATTTCCTATTGTCCGTATGTGGAAGGGATGCCATGCTTGTCCTCTCTTGCTGCCCAATTCTACCCAAACTCTCTTCTCTTTACCTGTGATGATGTGCCTCACCCTTTCTTCCTTTGTTCCTCATCCCTGTGATCCAGGCTTGGCTAGAGTGAATTGCATCCAAATGCTAAGTTCTTTGTAAAGTCAGTACCTGGTGAGTTGAAATTCAAAGTATCCTTCAAAGATCAATTCAAATTCCAGTTCTTTGAAAATCACTGTATCTGTTGTTTTAAATAGGCTCATTATAGTTACTGTAAAGCCTATTTAATGACTACAATGTCTGGATCATCTGTAGGTCTGTTTTTATTATCTCTTTCTTGGTTCCACCTCTTGGTATGCTTATTAATTTTTTATTAAATAGTAGACAATGTGTAATGAAGATCACGAAGGTTTTTACATGAGTCTTTAGCTTCTAGCAAGTGATTAGAATGGGAGAAATCTCCTGAATCCAATTAGGATTCAGCTATTTAGAGGTTGAGTTTCTTCAAATGTCTTTAAAGCCCCAATCATTTTCTGATTCCCTTTACTCCTTGGGTATAGTCCTTAAAGGACCCTAACTGAAAACCTAGTGTTCATGAGAGGTGTTTTTCCTTGACAAGTGTTCAATACCATTTTTTATTTGTGAGACTCTCAAACGCTCTGTTTATCTATTTCTCAGCTCTAGGTTTTTGTTCAGTTTCTCTCTGTGCTGCTTTTGCTAATTAGTGAAGCCACTCAGACTGTTGGACTACTTCTCTTCTCTGCCACATCTATGAGTCTTTATCCCCTGCTCTCTCAATAGCCCCGAACTTCAGTTTTTCTTCCCAGTCTCATGAGACCACCAAAAGCTTGGCTCAGTTTCTGCTTCTTAGTAGCTTTTTTTCTCTAGGCTTCCCAGCCTTTCTATCCACACTATTTTACGAATCAGCCTTGAGGAATTCCCTTGAGTGGAAAATCTGCACAGAATGTCTTAATCACCTCCATGGGTTTCTCTTCTGCCCAGTTTCTTGACCCATCAAATTTTCAATGCCTCAGGACTCTCAAATACGTGTCTCTGGTATCTCTTCTAGTGTTTTGTTTGTTTTTAGTGAGAGACTGATGTAAAATAAATAAGGGACTCATTGTTGGAAATGGAACCTATGTCTATCCCTTTTAAAAACTTGATTTTTACCCCAGTAGATTATAAATTCTCAAAGAGGAAGAACTCTATTTTCCTTTATATTTTTACTATTTCCTCTATGCTTTCCATAGTGTCTAGATTTTAGTAGTACACAATGTTTATTGAATGAATGAATAAATATATGAATAAGTGAATGAATACCTGGTATAGAATAGGAGGTTATCTGAGCAATAACCTTTTTCATCACATTTTTACTGCGTATTTCACCAGGTGATTTTTTTTTTCCAGAAATCTAGACTTTAGCAGAATTAAGCCCATGTTTGCCTTAAAAGTCATTTTTTATTCCAAATTCAGCAAGCCAGAGTCAAACTCATTACTTTCCTTTGGTCTCTACTTCTAAATTTTTCTTTACTGTCGATGTCTTTACCAGCCATCCCAGTCTTCAGCTCAACAAAATATTTGTAGGGCATATACTGATCATAGAGCTTTTGTGCTTGATGTTAAGATGTAAGAACAGATAGAACCTGATCTCAGTCTTTCAAAGTACCATCTAGATTGCTGGTAAGAAAAGTATACAAATAAATATGATACAGGTCTAGATATAAATTAGTGAATGAATGAATGAATAAATGAATGAAGGTACAAGAAGTGTTGAGGGAAGAGAGGGGAGTTGATGAATTTTGAACAGACATAGAGGGGGATACTCCAAGTAATTTAATTAGACTGTAGCTTGAGGAAGCATAGGGGAGGAGTTGGCAACAATGCTGGCAAAGTTGGCTCCATGATGTGAAGGGCCTTCAATGCTCATTTGAAGTCTTTGCACTGGCCTGGAGAGGCAGGGGGAAGCACTGAAGGATTTTGAGCAGAAAAGTAAAATATAGTTGGCTCTGTAGTGAAGAATGTCAGTCTAGAATCTTTGTAGGATGAAAGAGGAGATGAGAGGTGGGAATAACTATCTTACCCTTTGCTCTCCTTCCCACCCAACCAGGAACCAAACACCATACTCTGCAACACTCAGAGTCTGGACCATCCCCTACTATTCTATTTCTGAAGGTTATCAGATTATCACAGCCTTCATCTTATCAAGAATCCAAAATGGTGGCTTTCATCATCATCTTGCCCTTCAAACATTGTCTATCCCCCAAAATGGCCCATTTCTCTCTCAGACACACTTCTAGCTGATTCCCACCTTTATGCATTTACTCAAGACATTTGCCTCTTAGGCCTGCTTCTGTTTCTATAGGCATCTTAAAAATCAAAACCTCTCTCTTCTCTGTTTCCCTATGGATGTGGGCTACATTAGCTTGTTCCTATGTGCCCTTGGGCTCCTCTTGTAACTTCATGCTTTGCCTCTTTAAATAGATTGTTGGTCCCTCAGGGGATGTTTTTATGATTCTAATTGCTAACTACAATATAAGAACTTTCTCATTTTTTTCCTTTTTACTGATAATTTAAAACTTTTGTTACCATCACTTTTATTTAAAGATGAAAAATACAGAAAGAGAGATGACAAAAATAAAAAGAAGGAAAAAAGAACCCATAATTCCATAGCCATCAATAGTATTTTGGTAAATCTTTTTCTAGACTCTGCATATACTTTTCTTTCTTTTAAAAATTTTGTAATCATGATCTATATACAATTTAGTACCCTATTTCTTTTGCTTGTTGTATATTTGTTATATATTGCAATGCTTTTTCTATTTTATTTCATATTTTTTTTAAATACCATGAATGAATTAGGCAAACGTTATTGTCAGGAGGGCATGTGATAAAGTCAAAGAAAGAAAGGTCAAGTACAGTCTCTGTCTACAAGTAACTGAAAATCTATATGCAGCACACTGGCTTTAGCATTGCGTTCAGATCTCAACTCTACCATATATAATCTGAAAAACTGTGGACAAAATATTTAATTTCTCCAAGGTGTAGTTTGCTATTCATAATGGAAGGGGTATCACCCTTTGCCTCATAGTGACATAGGAGAATTAGAGGTGCTGGTGCATGGGAAATGTTGAGTCCAGTGTCTGGTACATGGTAAGGAAAAATGTTAGCTGCAAAAATCCTCGACAAAATACTAGCAACCCAAATCCAGTGGTATAACACAATTTAATCTATCACAATAAAGTATGCTTTAATCCTGGGAAGCAAGGTTGGTTCAATATATACATATCAACCATATGATCATCTTAGTAGATGTAGAAAAAAAGGTTTTGATAAAATCCAACATCCCTTCATGATAAAAACCCTCAACAAACTAGGCAGTGAAGGGACATACCTGAAAATAATAAGTGCCATCTATGACAAACCAACAGCCAAGGGCAAAAGCTTGGCTGTTGGTTTGTCATAGATGGCACTTATTATTTTTTTGCCCATATTAAAGGGCAAAAGCTTGAAGCATTCTGCTTAAGAGCAGGAACGAGACAAGCATGTTGACTCTCATCATTCCTGTTCAATATAGTACTGGAAGTTCTAGCCAGAGCAATCAGGCAAGAAAAAGAAATAAAAGGCATCCAAATAGGAAAAGAAGTCCAATCGTCTCTCATTGCTGATGATATCATTGTATACCTAGAAAACCCTAAAGACTATGCCAAAAGATTCCTAGAACTGATCTTCAGCAAAGTTTGAGAATACAAAGTCAATGTACAAAAATCAGTAGCATTTCTATGCAAAGTGAGAGCTCCATCAAGAACACAATCCCATTTACAATAGCTACAAAAAAATGAAATGCCTAGGAATACATCTAACCAAAGAAGTAAAAGATCTCTACAAGGAAAACTACGAAACGCTGGTGAAAGAAATCATAGATGACACAAACAAATGGAAAAACATTCCATACTCATGGATCAGAAGAATCAATATCGTTAAAATGGCCATACTGCCCAAATCAATCTACAGATTCAATGCTATTTATATCAAGCTACAAACATCATTTTTTCAGAGAATTAGAAAAAGTAATGTAAAATTCATATGGAACAAAAAGAGCCTGAATCAACAAAGTAATCCTAAACAGAAGGAACAAAGCCAGAGGCATCACATTACCCAACTTCAAACTACACTACGAGGCTGCAATAACCAAAGCAGCATGGTACTGGTACAAAAACAGACACCTAAGACCATGGAACAGGATAGAGAACCCAGAAATAAAGCCACATACCTACTGCCATCTCATCTTCAACAAAGTTGACAAAAATAAGAAATGAAGAAAGGGCTCCCTACTCAATAAATAATGCTGAGATAACTGGCTAGCAATATGCAGAAGAATGAAACTGGACTCTTACATTTTACCATATACAAAATTTAATTTAAGATTGAATAAAGCTTAAAATGTAAGACCTCAAACTATAAAAATCCTAGAAAAGAACCTATGAAATATCCTTCTGTATGTTGGCCTTGGCAAATAATTTATGGCTAAGTACTCAAAAGCAACAAAAACAAATTGCAACAACAAAAAAATACTGACAAGTAGGACCTAATTAAACTAAGGAGCTTCTGCATAAAGAAAAAAAAAACTATTAACAGAGTAAACAGGTGGTCTATAGAGTGAGAGAAAATATTACCAAAGATCTAATATTCAGAATCTATAAGGAACTTAATTCAATATGGAAAAAAATAAATAAATAACCAGATTAAAAATTGGGCAAAGGACACGGGCAGACACTTCTCAAAAGACAACATACCAGTGGTCAATGAACATATGAAAAAATGTTCAGTGTCACTGATTGTGAGAGAAATGCAAATCAAAACCACAATGAGATACCGTCTCCCACCAGT